AGCCCGGGCCTTGCCAGGCAGGCCCGGGCAACCTCGAGCTGCGCCCCGCGAGAGGCACGGCGCGCCGTTGCGGCAGGTTCGTTTCGTGGCGGCTTCGGCGTTGGTTTCTGACACCGCGTGGATCCTTCAACCTTGTATGATCGGCAGCTGTTCGATCGTCAGACCGTCCCATGTTGGCCAACTCTCTGCCACTGGCGGCATGCAACCTTGAACACCTGCGCTGAGGTTGCCGCTGCGTCGACACGACACGGACCTGCCGTACCTCGCCGCTCTGGAGATGTGCACCCTTGCGGCCCAGAACGCGAAGCGCAGAGGGTAATTATCTTCGCACACCTGCGGGTGACCCTTGCATATCCTCCAGAGGCCAAAAGACGGAGTCGGATGATTCTCGGTCGTCTTTGCATTGTTTGTTGGGGCCCTATGAGGCTCTGCTTGGCTTGTTACTGCGCCCCATGCCCCGAACTCCACTGTCCCAACTTTTTGCTACGGTTCTTGACCCCGTCTGCCGCGTGGAACTCGCGCCAAGGGCTTTTTCCGTCGGCCGAACGGCCAAGACCGGCTCCAGAAGCCTGGGCTCAGGAAGGAAGGCGGGCCGCCCTGATCTTCGTGCGGGACACTACAGGTCTGCCCAGGTCACCAAGCCTCGCGCCCCGCGTTGCGCGAAACTCCAAGCCCGACTCCCTGCGCGCTCTTGCGCCGCCCCCGTGGCGAAGGTCAGCCCACCAGCCCAGACCGCGGGGCACGACGTGTCTTCGCGCCGCCGTGCGTGGCCCAGTCTTCGTGGTCCTCAAGGCCGCCGGCGGACCGCGGCGCCGGACGCCGCGGGCGCTGGGTGGGCCGCCATGGTGCCCAGCGCCCGGCCGCCCTGGCCCTGGCGGGCTGCCGCCATCGTCAGCCCGGGAGCGCGGCCGTCGCATCCCGCGCAGCTCGGCCCGAGGCGGCCACAGGAAGAGGGGAGGCCGAGGAGGAGAGGGGCAGGAGTTTTTTTTTTGTGGTGGTGGTGGTGGTGGTGGTGTTTTTTTGTATGGCAGAGGGGTAGGAGGGGTATGTACGGCGGAGGATGGCACGCAGCTGCGGACAGAATGCGTGCCACTTGCTGCGCCCGTGTGCGCAAAGCAGCAGCTCGAGTCTCGAGATGCTCAGTGTGTGGAGAGGCAGGCGGGCCCGAAGGGCGCGGCCTGAAAGTGTTGTAGGCTTTGACAGCAAGAGCAGGTAGGGCGGAGGACTAGGATGAGGATGGCACAGGATGAGGGCGGATGATGAAGAGGAGGGCGGAGGATGCGAATCTATAATGAGAAAAAGGACTGAGCAGTATGCTGATGAGGAGGAGGCACAAAGGGTAATGAGGATGACTGGCAGGAGGAGGAGGAAGAGGAGGAGGAGGAAGAGGAGGAGGAGGAGGAGGAGGAGGAGGAGGAGGAGGAGGAGGAGGAGGAGGAGGAGGAGGATAGGAGGACGAGAAGGATAATGGAGGGAGGAACAGGGACAAGAGAAACACGAGGATCGTGTACAAGAGGCAGCTGGCGCCCCCGCGATGCCTCGGAGCACAGCGGACCACCCTCGCCGATGCCTGCGTCGGCCTGCCGCCTGACCCGCGTTCGCACTAAGCATAAACGCCTTTCTCGGGGAGCGAAACGTTTCCCACTCCAGCCGCGCGCCATCGAAGGCAATTGGCGTCCACGTGATACCCCAGACCTCGGAGCATGACACACCGTCCGGGCCAGCACCTGTGTCGCGGCTGGCTGCCCGACCAGAACCGTGCTGCCATCACAACTCGTAGCAGCTGGCATACACTAAGACCAGAACCGCGCGCTCGCTTCGCGCTCAGATTCCGGCGCAGGACAGGGCAACGTCCCGGCACACTGGGTGCACGGACCACGCTCCGCAAAGAACACTGGGCGGGAATATACCCGCACACCCGCAGGGACATGCATAATGATCCGTGGTTTAATCTACTTCCTGTGCAGATAACAAGGAACATCAGGTAGGAGGCAGGCAGGGAGGAAGGAGGTGCGAGGTTGAAGAGGGAGGCGGGAGGGGGAGGAGGGAGCAGGGGAAACACAAGAGGGAGAAGGGGGGGAAGGATGATGGAGGGAGTGGTAAGAAGCGCGCAAGGGCGCTGGACGTTCCACAGAAGCCGCACGTGTCGTGGGGATGAAGTCGAACCCATATCGCCAAGAGGATGAAAAACGGACGCGATGCGATGCGATGCGACCCGCATTCCAACCCGTTATAGGGCAGCCTTCTAAGAAGGCAAGCGTATGGGACACGCAGTCTCGGCAACCGGGCGCAATGGAAGATGCTTCGTACAAATGTGGACGAAAGAGGAAGGAGGAAGGGCGAAGGAAGAGTGGAGATATTCGGCCGTCTTGGAGCCATCTTGGTGGTCTTATGGGGCCACTTGGGGCCGTCGTGGCCCCCTCAGCCATATTTGGCTCTTGTGGGACTTTCTTGGAGCAAAAAGGAACGTCTCGGCGTGCTCGTAAGTCATGTTTGGGATGGCCGTATTGGGCCCCCCGTGGGCCGTCGTACTTCTCGGGACAGGGGAAGAACTTGAAGGAATTCTTTGTTCCCCACATCCAAAGTGGGGTTCTTGTTTTCTCTGGACACCCCGCGCAGGAACAGGACAGGAACACACACACACACCCACTCACACTCACTCACACTCTCTCATCATCAACCTCATCAACATCATCGATGATGCTCTCTCACATGCTTAGTCACTCACATACTCATCATCATCATCACTCGCACTCTCTCACACGCTCACGAACATCATCATCATCATCATCATCATCATCATCATCATCATCATCATCATCATCATCATCATCATCATCGGCATCGGCATCATCCTCATTCAAACATCATCATCGCCACCACCACTCACAATCAATCATCATCCTCTTCACCACTCATCTTCACCACCACTCATCATCCTCATCCTCATCATCGTTGAGTAAATTGTGAGGAAGTCTCAGGCGGGAGCCCCCTCCCTATGGGGCCCGCAGATCATGTTGGTAATCCGAGCGGGTCATCGGAACCCTGTAACTGTCGTCACTTTTGGGCTCGTCAAGCCTGAAAATGGAGGAAGTCTCAGGCGGGAGCCTCGTCTGTGAGTGAATTGGGAGGAAGTCTCAGGCGGGAGCTCCCTCCCTATGGGGCCCGCAGATCATGTTGGTAATCCGAGCGGGTCATCGGAAACCTGTAACTGTCGTCACTTTTGGGCTCCTCAAGCCTGAATTTGGAGGAAGTCTCAGGCGGGAGCCTCGTCTGTGAGTGAATTCTGAGGAAGGCTCAAGCGGGAGCCCCCTCCCTATGGGGCCCGCAGATCATGTTGGTAATCCGAGCGGGTCATCGGAACCTGTAACTGTCGTCACTTTTGGGCTCGTCAAGCCTGAATTTGGAGGAAGTCTCAGGCGGGAGCCTCGTCTCTGAGTGAATTGTGAAGAAGTCTCAGGCGGGAGCCCCCTCCCTATGGGGCCCGCAGATCATGTTGGTAATCCGAGCGGGTCATCGGAATCCTGTAACTGTCGTCAATTTTGGGCTCCTCAAGCCTGAATATGGAGGAAGTCTCAGGCGGGAGCCTCGTCTGTGAGTGAACTGCGAGGAAGTCTCAGGCGGGAGCCCCCTCCCTATGGGGCCCGCACGTATCCACTGGGACGCACTCCCATGCGCTTCCACTGGGAGGTGCTGCGACAGGGCGCCGAAGGCGCCGACGACGACGGCCAGGCCGAGGCGCGGGCGCGGAGCTTGCTGATGTTCAGGCCCAGCGAAAGGGAGTTCACATGGCAGAGCTCGGGGGCGCACAGCGTGCGCCGCTCGGGGTTCACCCTGACGCACGCGTCCTACCTGACCTCCACGCTGTCGCAGGGCCAGACGCTGCGCAAGGGCGTCACCATCGACTGCGCGAGAGACGAGGACGCTGGCCGCACGGGCATGTCGGACGAGCAGTGGTGGCTGCACCTCTACGTCATGTTCTCCCGCGCCACGTGCATGCGGAACATGCTGATCCTGCGGCCGCCGCCGCGAGAGTTCCTGGAGTGCGGGCCGCCGGCGTCCCTGCGGAAGGCGCTCCTGGAGTTCGACAAGAGAGCGGTTTTGTCCAGGGCGGAGGCGAAGCAGCTCGCGGCAGAGCTGGGCTTCGTGCTGCCTTCCGCCTGAGCGCGGCTGCGCCTCGCTCGAAGCCCGCGGGGTTGTCCCAACGGCTTGGTCTTGCGCGCCAACGGCTCGCGGGGTTGTCCCGACAGCCTGGCCCGCGGGGTTGTCCCAACGGCTGCGCGACGTGACCAGTAGAGAACGCGCCTGTGCTGGCCGTGGCGGCGACGGCGCCGAGGAACATCGACATGCGCGCTCATGCAACAGGAAGGGGAGGAGGTGGCGGGGCGCGGAACAAACAGGGGGGCGAGGATGGGGACAACGTAAGGAGTGGAAGGGGGGCCCGCGCCAAGGCGAGAGGAAATATACGCAGAAGAGACAGCCAGGACGCCTCACCAACCACGAGGACGACGGTGATGGCTTTTTCCAGATTCGCCCAGAGGATTCTTATGTGGGGTTCTTCCGTCGGAGTAATTTGGTGTTTTGCTCGAGAAGTCTGGGGTCCCTCTGTGATAGTAGTTGCACATCTTATGCCCATTTTGGCTCCCGTGGGGCTGTCTTGGTTCTCCCGAGATGGAACATTGGGCATTCTTGCCGCATTATCGAGGAGCGCCCTGGCCACCTCCAAACGTACCTGGGCCGTCTTAGATCCTCTTGGGCGCATGCAGGATCGGTCTCTGGGGGGATCTCTTGGGGCTGGTTTGGCCTCTTGGGCCGTCTTCGAGGCCTCCTGAGGCTGCTCTGGGCGTCATGGGCCCAACTTGGGCCGTCTTGAGGCCCTTTTGGACCGTCTTCAGCCCCTCTGGGGGTCCTCTTGGGGGGTCTCGGGGCGCTCTTGCGCCGCCTTGGGCCCCTCTTGGGCCGCCTGAGGCCCTTCTTGGGGCCCTCTTGTTTGTTTTTTATCCGACCGTCTTGGGACGATCCTGCGAAACTCTTGGGCCTTCGTAACGACCGAGAGGGGTTCACGAAATGTTTGGATGAACACGCGGTCCCTTCCCGACATGGGAATGGCCTGGCTCCCGAGCGAAAACAGACCGAGGTTCGCACGCTCATGGTTGCGCAAGCCTGCCACTCACACTCTTGCCGTACAAACCCTCGTCCAGCTTGTAAATGAGATCGGCGGGACAATAATGAAAAGACACAGAGTGCGGCGAGCAACAATCGAAACCGTCCTGGAGGCTGTAAGATCCTCTGGTGTACCAGCCGTGCTCAATCATCTGGACGTGTGTCATGTTCATACCAGCGTGAGTCGAGGGAGTAAATGGGTGGAACAACTCTCGGTTCAATGTGTCGCGGGTGTCCTGGGGAATGACTCCAAGCTGCTTGAAGCATTTGGTCGTTTCCACGTCCTCGCTCCAGCCAGCCATTCCTAGACCGCAATGCCCGAGATCGAACCGACTACCAAGCAGGTGCAAGGCCCTGCGATTCAGCACGACCCCAGGCCCGCCTATGTTCATGACACCGAGGTTAACATCGTGGGCCATGGGCCTGCCGAGGTACAGAGGCACGCCCTCAGCGTTCGGGTCTGCCCACTGCGGCTCTCGCAACAAAGCGCGCAAATTGTCCACGATCAGATAGGCATCGTCGCCAGCCTGGTAGAAATAGTCATAATCAAGCAAGTAATGTCTGTACATGTGCTGCCAAACCAGCCTGGCCTTCTTAATCATGTTTTCCTTACCGTTATTGGCGCGCGGGCCAGTCACCGTCATGTTGATAGCTCCGATGCGGAGGTCTTCGACGTTGCTGTAGGCGACGTATCCATCGCATCGCTGCGCCCAAGTCTCCCACACGGCCTTGGCCAAGCCATCGTGGTTCTTATCGTATGTCCAGACGCTGCAAAAAATCCTCGGTCCACCTTCACCCCTACCTGCCCCGCCGGCCACATCCAAGTACTGTATCATGAGATCGTCCAAATTCACATTCCTCTCGAATTTCACTCGATTCGCGCCCTGCCTGACCATGCGCGGCAAACTGGGGTTCCCCCGCTTCAGCGGCGTCTTCCACTCCGGGCGGTCATCGCCTACGAGCCCTACAGGAGACTTCCCGCCCTTGAGGACGCGGTGGGCCCACTTGCTGAGCTCCTCGCCCTCCGCCCAGGCCGCGGCCTCGTCCATCAACCTCCTCCGTGGCTGTCCAAAAACTCCCCTTGATTGAAGATGGACCGGCTCGCTGGCACACTCGGGCCGATCGAACAGAGCCCCTCTCGAAGGAGAGGCGCAACCTAATCAACTGTCATCGAATGGACCGAAGCACGAACAGCCCAGCCCTCCCCCGAAGCGGCTCCCGAACCATCACGTGGCTCAGGGGAGGTCAGCTGGGGCATCAGTGCCGCTGTTCCAAGCCCTCGATCGTGGAGCTGATGCCGCTCTGGACGAGGCCCCGACCTCCGACGACCTCCCAGAACATCTGGAGAGAACTCCTTCGAAGGCCCTATCCTCGCGGCTGGCACCGCCAAGAGGGCCCGACGTCCGAGGATCTCTAGAGAGAGAGAGAGAGAGAGAGAGAAAGAAAAGAGAGAGAGAGAGAGATAGAGTCTTCGAAATCCCTCGTTGAGGGGCAACGAAAAGGGGGGGGAACTGGCACAGAGGGGGCTACGCTGAGCTGGAATCAGTGATACACCGCCGATCGATCGGCGATAAGCCTCCGACTGCAGAACTGCACGGTCCTGGGCGGGGCGGGCTATCGGCCTCTATCGGCGATCGGCAAGCGATTGGGGGTCGAGGCATCCCTCCTTTGAGCCTATCCCCCCAAACCCAGACGGGGGTAACTGCCAAATTAGCCTGGCGAAGGACCCAACCATATGCAGTTGTGAGTAATGCTGGTGTGAGTACCGTCTTCGGTGGATCTCCCTATGGGGCCACGAAACGTGTGAGGGGTGTGCCGAAATGGGTGTGGGGGCGGCATGCGAACGTTGCCACTGGGGCCTTCGGTGGAGCTCCTTATGGGGCCACGAAACGTGTGAGGGGTGCACCGAAGTTGGTGTGGGGGCGGCATGCGAACGCAACCACTGGGGCCTTCGGTGGAGCTCCCTGTGGGGCCACGAAACGTGTGAGGGGTGTGCCGAAATGGGTGTGGGGGCGGCATGCGAACGTTGCCACTGGGGCCTTCGGTGGAGCTCCCTATGGTGCCACGAAACGTGTGAGGGGTGTGCCGAAATGGGTGTGGGGGCGCATGCGAACCCAGTCACTGGGGCCTTCAGTGGAAATCCCCATGGGGCCACGAAACGTGTGAGGGATGTGCCGAAATGGGTGTTGGGGAGGCATACGAACCAGGCCACTGGGGCCTTCGGTGGAGCTCCCTATGGGGCCACGAAACGTGTGAGGGGTGTGCCGAAATGGGTGGTGGGGAGGCATGCGGACCCTGCCACTGGGGCCTTCGGTGGAGCTCCCTATGGGGCCACGAAACGTGTGAGGGGTGTGCCGAAATGGGTGGTGGGGAGGCATGCGAACCCTGCCACTGGGGCCTTCGGTGGAGCTCCCTATGGGGCCACGAAACGTGTGAGGGGTGTGCCGAAATGGGTGGTGGGGAGGCATGCGAACCCTGCGAGGGAGGGGGGCGAGGAGGAGGAGGAGGGGAACGCGGGGCACCGTCTCTTCAAAACGAGGACCCAACACCACAGGATGGTTGGGAAAAACAAGCACGCGCCAAGAGCGAGGGGTAAAACACAGGGCTGTCGGCCCCCCTATCCGGAGATCAGTCGGCGATTGGGCGTCGACGCGCTCCCCACCCCCATCTGGGCCTTCCCCTCCGCTGGCCGTGGCCCCCGACTTGTCCTCGCGGCCGGCAGCAGGCCCTCTGCGCCGGTGGGCGCAGGCCGCACGAGGAGGGCCGCCAGGCAAAGGGCGGCCAGGAGGGCGAGCAGCAGCGGCAGCAGCAACAGCGCGGCGACCGCCCGCGGCGGCCGGGCCATGGCCGCGGCCGCGGCCGCTCTCCTCCGGGCGGCGCACGGGCTGCTCGGGCCAGAGGCGGCTCCAGCCGAAACGGCTACGGAGCTTGCGCAGGAGAGGGGCGAGGAGGGCAGTCGACGAAGGCGGTGGCCAAGACGGCGGAAGAGGCCCCCAAGGCAAGTGCGAGGGGTCCACCCAGGACCCAAGAGGGCCCAGGAGGCTCCCCAAACGGATTCCCCCCCCCCCCCCCCTCAAGATGGCTCCCGAGACCGTCGCACGCCCCCCAGACGTCCTCAGATGCCCCCGACAAGCTTTGAGGGGCCCCACGAGGCACCGAAGGGACTGCCAAGAGGCCTCCAAAAGGCCCCATTAGAGGCCTCTGGTCCGCGATCCAGGCACGGGATGGCGAGGGGGACTGTGGGCGTGGTGGCTGCAGGCTCATGAGCTCTGCACGCGCTAGCCCCATACATCCCCTCGCCTCGTGGTACAGGACTCCAGGCACAAGATGGGCAACCATCGAGCCGTGGCACGTGTTCATCTTCGGCTCACAAGAATCCAGAGGCAAAACCTCGAGACGGGATGTAATCCCACGTGACATCCCCGGAGGTCGTTGGCAGGACGGCGTGATTCATGATTCCAGTGCGCGCGCCTGCCCCGTCCCCGATACTGCAAGAAGGAGAAGACCACCAGCAGCAACAGAAGCAGGACGAGGAAGAGGAGGCAAGCTGGATACAGTCGGACAGTCGGACTCGATTGGACAGGACACGCGAGAGGACACAAGACCCTTCCGAGGGCCACACTGCCACAGGAATGCAGGAAGCATGGGTCGCGAGACGCAGGACACAAGGGTGCCCTTGATTTGGCAGGGCCGACCTACGAATCTGGGCCGACTGTAACACTCGTGAGGGCGAGGAGGACGACGGATGGCGGTCTTGCGGCGCCCGCGCGGTGGCCTCATGCACAACACAGGGGAGGGCTGGCGATGCCCGCGAGCATCGATTATGGCAGCCACCGCGCCAGCGCGCGGGCCTCGCGCGCGTGGCGGCGAACGACGGCATGGCTGCAAGGCCAGGCACCGATCTCGGCGAACCTCCACAGGCGCCGCGGGTCGGCGAGCTGAGCCACGGGAGTGCCGCAGGTCCACAGGGTCATCTGATCTCGGCGAACTGCTGCAGAGCCACGGTCTGGAATCTCAGCGCCCCCGTCACAGCCTGGCGCGCCTGGGGCGCCCCGCCCCGCGGTCCCATCACCTGGCGCCGGAACGGCGATGGGGGCCGAGGAAAGAGCAGGAGGCAGGAGAGAAAGAGGGCAGGCGGAAGAACATGTAAGGATGAGGAAGCCGAGGGAAGAGGAGGGAGGAGAGAGGATGGAGGATGGAGCATGGAGGATGGAGGATGGAGGAGGAGGAGGAGGAGAAGGAGGAGGAGAAGGAGGAGGAGGAGGAGGAGGAGGAGAGGAGGAGGAGGAGGGAGCTAGCGAGCGAGCGAGCGAGCGACCTCGGCAGCAGTTCGGCGTCAGCGCATGGAGCACAAGCCTGGGAACGTCGGGCGCCTGTCAGCGTCCTTAATTGCTGCTGGTGCTGTTCGAGGCGAGGCGGTAGGGCGCCTGAGGGAACCCGTTGGGGCCAATAGAGCCTTGGGCCCCAGGAGGAGGACGAGGAGGAGGAGGTGGAGGAGGAGGAGGAGGAGGAGATCTCCGAGATCCAGACGGCGAGCCCACCTACGGCACCACACCACTCCGACATCAACCAAGCCCAACCTTGCTCCATAGTGCAGACCGAACCGACAGCCCACAATACCGTGCCGACGCCAGTGCAACACGAATCGACCGCGGAGGCGAGCCGCATCCAACAAGACATTGATGACTTTTTCAACCTGGTCGCCGACGCACCAAAGCCTATCCCGTCGGCGCCTACATCGACTCACCACAACCGTCCGACACTAAACGAAGCGCAAAGCACCGCCCACGCAGCCGACCCAATCAGTGCAAATTTGCATCCGTCACGACGCAATCACCATAATGGTGGTCAACAACCATGTGTTAGATCACCCCGCTGCAACTGGGGCGGGCCCACAGAAGGAGGGATACAACAAGGCACCGCCGCCAAACAACCAGCTCTGGAAGGAGGTTCCAGTTAAACGCCCACCTTCTCTCCACGACGATAGAGGCCCGGCCCAAGAACCAAGCAAGTCACCCCCATATCGACCGTTCAGCAAGTAGCCAGCAAGCCAGCCCTCAAACTGACTCCGCCCACGCGCGAGGGTGACGTCCACGTGCCCTACCAACTAACCCTACCTAAGAAAACCACCAGGCCCATAGCTACCGCAGCCATGTCCCCCGTTTACGAGGGGGCCCAGACACGACCATGCGAGGAGCCACCCAAGGGCATACGGGTCGGGGCCTTTACTCCGACATCCAGCACGACGCAGCTGGCAGGCTCGTCAATATCATCAGCAACATCCACTGCGACCCGAGCACACCGTATCACAAGATACACGCCCACAGTATCATCAAAGACTGCATCGGAAATATCAACAACCGAGAGGTGGTCTACGACTGGGAAGCGGACCCATACCGTATCGACCGCGGCCAGCACGACAAGGTCCTGCACTATCTCCACGACGCCCTGAGCAAGAACTTCGGAAAACAAGTCGGCGACCGTGTCGCGCCCTTCAAAACGACGAACAACGAGATGGTACTAGTGCCCTTCATCATCCACCAGCTTTACAACATCTCCGCACACCCAGTGGCTGAGGACCGCACTGACATACCTACATCGCACCAAACTCGACGTGAATGTGACGAGATCTACACCTACGGCATGCTTGCCCTTCGCTACAACCCGACAGGCACATCAACGCCGTTCACCACGTCTTCCTGCCAGAAGGGCATCGCCAACGACATGATCTACTGGATGAGGACCTGCTGCTTAAGCACAACGGCGAAAGCAACCCAGCCCTTCAGAAAAACCAGAAGACCAACAACCAGACCATCGTGTCCCACCACCAGGCCCCGCGCCAGGCACTAGCCATCAGGGTACCGCGACAGGCCCAAAGGGTCACGGTAACAAACAATCGACGCAGAGCCAAGAAAGCAGCCACCAGCAGGGACCGATTTCTTAGCCAGCCACCTACGGGGGTACGCGAGGACTCGCCCCGCTCACGATCGACAGCAAGTATTCAACCAGCACATGCAGAGGTACCGGCCCAGTGAACGTTCCCAACGTCCCCGCTGGAGGGCATGCCACTACCAAAACCACCAACAACGAAGGTAATGATAACCGGCGAAAGTACGCCCAGCAGCGAGGTATTCCTATTCGACGCGAGATACCCAATACTGCATGTGGACACGAATGCCATCAACGACCAGAACGAGGATGATTAGTACCCTGGCTACGACAACATGGACTGCATAAAGACGGACGCTGACCCAACATCCAGCACAACCAGCAGCCGTACCAGACTCAAGCCCACGGGAATCGCACATGAAGCGGGCAACCTCACAGCGAACATGCCGACAGCATGCTGGACGACAGCACGACGCCCACCCCACATGTCTCTACCCTCAGATAGGGTTCGCAACCTACCTCTTTTCTCCCTGCAGCCAACGGCCAAGAGGCGAACGCGGCCCTCATGCCGAGGCGGGGCCAGCCACACGGAGGCCCGTCAGTGAGGCAATACCTCTCGCACCAATTTTGCTACCAGCGACCGCAGACTCCCAGCCATTTTATCAAGCGCGTCAGCGCTGTCAGCTGTCTCGCTACCGACTTCAAGGCTCCCACACCCGCCGTGGCTTTCTCACCCATGTACGCTGATCATCCGACAAGCCATCAGCTGCGAGCTGGGGCCTCGGAGGCGACGACACGAAGAGCCAACGATCCACTGGTCATGAGGGAGCCCTCACCCAAGCTGCACTCCTTTCTGGCTCCACCTCCTCCTGTGTGCCGCGCTCCCCCCCGACACTTCACCAACCTGACCTACTCCTTCCCACTCGTGTGGCAGCGGTACGGGTGGGGTGGAGGGTCACATAACGGAGGGGGGGAGAGAAACAAAAGGACCCGCCGTCGGCTGTCCTGCAAGGGCCAGGGTGGCCGCGGCATACAACAGCCGTCCGCCGATCTACCGCTCACAGCCGCACACAGACACCCACGGCAACGGTCTCAGCACCCTGCCTAGGTCTCGTTGCTCGCACCTCCTTTGGTGCAACTGTGGGAGCGGGGGTGGGTTTGCATGACGGTGGGTAGGGGTGGGAAACGTAGCCGTCGGCAGCCACGGCGTTGGCCACGGCCGTCGCGGGAAACAGCCTCACTGCAGTTCACGCCGGCAATTTAAGCATCCTTTCTGCAGTTGCCCAGCCCAACAGTACCGCCACCGCCAGTCTCTCGCCTCCTACTGTGCCTCTCTATTCGCCTTCCCACCCTTCGTTGGCCCACTTTCAGCCGCCCCGCTACCTCTGCCTTTCACAGCCGCTCACAGACGCCTGCAACAACTCTACGCTCGCATCACGTCAGACTCAGCTGTGGGAGTGGGGGGGGCTATGGGATTACTTGGCGGGGGGTTGGGATGGGGAACGTAGCCGTTGGCAGACATGGCATAAACCAAGGCCGCCGCGGGCAACAGCCTCCCTGCAGTTCATGCCGACCACTATACATCCTTCAGGCAGTTGTCCAGCTTAACAGCGCCGCCATCGCCAGTCTCTCACCCCTTACTGTATCTCTCTTTTCATATTCCCACCCCTCTTACCTTACTTTCAGCCGCCGCTGCCTCTGCCACTCTCAGCCGCCCACAGCCGCCCGGAGCAGCTCTTGCAGCCCGCTGCCTACAACCCGACGCTCACACTTCCTCTGACGCAGACGTGGGAGTGGGGTGGGATACGTTGGTGGATGTGGGACTGCTTCTACCAAACCACCGCCAAGAAGGCGCAAACCTCTCCCACGCCCAGCGAACCCCCGCAGGCAGCCACCAGTCCCACGCTCGGATACCCTACCCCCGCCTCGGCGGGTGAGGGTCCCCGTCGAAGGTCTGTGGGCTGGCTGGGGTCTTCCTATGGGCAGGGGGGGGCCTTTGCGTCCTTCACCTCGGGCGAGATTGGCCTAGACCGCACGCCCACGAACTGGAGGCGCAACTCGCAACCCTACGAGGCCATCGCCAGGGAGGCGCAAACCTCCCCCACGCCCGGTGACCCCCCTCAGGCAGCCACCAGTCCCAAGCTCGGATACCCTACCCCCGCCTCGGCGGGTGAGGGTCCCCGTCGTGGGTCTGTGGGCTGGCTGGGGTCTTCCTATGGGCAGGGGGGGGGGCCCTTGCGTCGGCACGTGTGGGCTCCCGTCATGGGTCCGATGGCTGGCTAGGGGGGGTTCCTATGGGCAGGGGGCAAGGCCTTTTCACCTCTCTCGTTCGGCGAGACTGGCTTTTGCCCCATACCCACGCCACACGGCTGCCGTCACCCCCTCCTCCTCCTCCTCCTCCTCCTCCTCCTCCGAGAAAAAGAAGAAGTAGCAGTAGTAGTAGTAGTAGTAGTAGTAGTAGTAGTAGTAGTAGTAGTAGTAGTAGTAGTAGTAGTAGTAGTAGTAGTAGTAGTAGTAGTAGTAGTAGTAGTAGTAGTAGTAGTAGTAGTAGTAGTAGTAGTAGTAGTAGTAGTAGTAGTAGTAGTAGTAGTAGTAGTAGTAGTAGTAGTAGTAGTAGTAGTAGTAGTAGTAGTAGTAGTAGTAGTAGTAGTAGAGTAGTAGTTAGTAGTAGTAGTAGTAGTAGTAGTAGTAGTAGTAGTAGTAGTAGTAGTAGTAGTAGTAGTAGTAGTAGTAGTAGTAGTAGTAGTAGTAGTAGTAGTAGTAGTAGTAGTAGTAGTAGTAGTAGTAGTAGTAGTAGTAGTAGCAGTAGTAGTAGTAGTAGTAGTAGTAGTAGTAGTAGTCGTAGTAGTGGTAATAGTAGTAGTAGTAGTAGTAGTAGTAGTAGTAGTAGTAGTCGTGTTAGTCGTAGTAGTAGTAGTAGTAGTAGTAGTAGTGTGTAGTAGTAGTAGTAGTAGATAGTAGTAGTAGTAGTAAGTAGTAGTAGTAGTAGTGATCGGGAAGTAGTAGTAGTTGTAGTCGTCGTAGTAGTATTCGTAGCGTTCTAGTAATAGAGTAGTAGAGTAGTAGTAGAGTAGGGAGTAGTGTAGTAGTGTAGTAGTGTAGGAGTAGTAGTAGTAGGATAGCAGTAGTAAAGTGGTTTCTAGAAATAGTAGGTAGTTAGTAGCAGCAGTAGTAGTCGGTTTAGTAGTATTAGTAGTAGTTAGTAGTAGTAGTAGTAGTAGTAGTAGTAGTAGTAGTAGCAATAGTAGTAGTAGTAGTAGTAGTAGTAGTAGTAGTTGTAGTAGTAGTAGTAGTAGTAGTCGTAGTAGAAGTAGCAGAGGTTGTAGCAATACAAGCCATACTTGTAGTAGTCGTAGTCGTAGGAGTACAAGCAGTAGTAGTAGTAGTAGTAGTAGTAGTAGTAGTAGTAGTAGTAG